GTAAACTATAGTACAGTTGATGTATAGTACAGTGTAATATAATATATACATTGATTTGTTATTGTTAATGTATTAAAAAATATTTATGTTTTTGCTGATAAACTCAAACTTAGTAAAGACACACACCTAGCAAATAAATGAACCAGTAAAATATGCATTTACTGATTACATTTACAAACTGTATTAACTGTAAAGATAAAACCGTATTTGGTTAATTATAAATTTTAATTGATTATTTGTAAACTTTTAGTAATATCGGAGAGCAGCCCATAGCACAGATCTGAACCATCATACTGTACTACAGTTTATTTATATTTAAATAGTTTTTAAACTATAGTACATTTTATTTATTATTATGTAGTTTAATATATACATTGATTTATTATTGTTAAAGTAGTACAAAATATTTATGTTCTTGCTAAAAAACACAAACTTAACAAAGACACACACTTAGCAAACAAAAAAACCTGTAAATTATTCATTTTAAATTCTATTAAGTGTAACGATAAAGACTGTATTTTATCAAATGTTTTAATCGATTGTTTGTAAACTTTTACTTATATTGGGTAGAAATTTGTAGTACAGATCTGAACCATTATAGTATAATAGATACATTAAATTATTATTTTTAATGTAGTAAAAAATATTTATGTTTTTGCTAAAAAATCGCAATCTTAGCTAAAACACATACTTAGCAAATAAATAAACCTGTAAAATATTCATTACATACTGATTACATTTACAAACTGTATTAACTTGTAAAGATAAAACTGTATTTGATTATTTATCAATTTTGATCAATCATTGATAAACTTTTATTGATATTGGCACAGATCTGAACCATCATACTATACTATAGTTTATTCATGTGTTTAAATAATTTTTAAACTAAAGTATAGTCGATTTATTAGAATAGTTTATATTCGATGTATTAAAAAATATTTATGTTTTTGCTAAAAATTGCAAACTTAGCAAAGTCGCACACCTAGCAAATAAACAAACCTGTAAATTATTCATTTTTAACTGTAAAGATAAAGACTGTATTTGATCATTTAAAATTTTAATCAATTGTTTATAAATATTTAGTAATATTTGAGAGAAAATGAAAGAAAACAAGTAAATACAAATATTTATTTATAATATACGTTTCGACACGGATTTTGTGTCATCATTCAGCAATTCTTTGTTAACAGTATTTAAAAAAAATATTTACAAAGTTTTAAAAATAAATTTAATTTTATATTTAAAATAATTGTTATCAAAATAATTAACAAATGTTAATTTTTGCTAATAATAATTAACAATATATTATAAGTAGATATTTGTATTTATTTGTTTCTTTCATTTCGACGACTGGGTGAAAATCATTATTCGAATCAATATGTCAAACAAAAAAATCTAATTATATATATATGTATATATATATATATATATATATATATATATATATCAATATATATATATATATTATATATATATATATATATATATATATATCAATATATATATTAATAAAACAAATTCATTTTGTTTTTCTGTATTAAGAAATATTTATCAATTTATGTTTTTCTTAAGAGACTTAAATTACTAAGTATTTTTGGTTGTAACTTATCAAAAACATACATACAATTAGCAAATAAATAAACCTGTGAATCATTTGAATTCATTTTTAAAAAATTGAAGCATTTGAATACGTTCCCTTTGTTCTATTACAATTTTATTATTAATGTTATTTACATACAATTTAATAATTACCCTGTGTTATATATAAATTTTATAAAACATTGAATATAAATTTTTAGATTTATCATAACATCGATAGCAATGGAAAATTTTACAAAAATTGGCTTTGGAGATTAATTAATTATCAATTAATATTTATTTTGGTCGAGACAACTTGCAATAAATTTATTAATAATAAATATATATTTCTGCAATCCATCCATTGCATCTATTGCATCCAATTTATAAATATCCATCTATGTTTGTTTTATCTATGATTAGTTCATTTATTAGAGAGGGACGCACATAGTGTTTTGTATGTTGAGAGACAGAGACAGCATAACAACGTGGTTTTGTACTTGAAGAAGTACATAGAGGTTAGGTAATGGACGTTTATGCAGTTTTGTTCTGAATTTTCGAAAGGCATGTTTTTATATATAAAATGGTTTAAATAAAGTGTTATATGATAAACTAGTTGTGTATTAAGTGTTTAGTTAACAGGCTTTTGTTAGTTTGTTTTAAAATAGCTCAGGATTGTATATAAAAGGTTTAATTTAAGTTTTTATGCAAAGTTTTTGCAACAATGGCGACTTTTTGTAAATGTCGTTTTGTTATAAAACTCTGATTTATTGAATTGTGATGGCATTTGGTTTATTACAGCTTAAATATAGTGCTGGATGTTAAATTTGATGTGTGGTAAGTAAATTTTATATTATTTTATATATCCATTGACATTTTTATGTTAATATGTGATCTGTCAAATATTTTGCATAATGGCCTACTTTTATTTTAAGCAAAATTTCAATAAATTTTGCAATTTATGATTTTTTATAAGTGTTATAATAATTTTGTCATAAAAGTTGTTTATGTTTTAGAAAATCTGTAGGAATTTAATAATGATGGCAAAATTTTAGAAATCTAGCAAGATTTTACAAATTTAGCAAAATTTTACAAAATTAGCAAAATTTTTGTCAAAAAACTGTCACAATTTTGAGATTATAAATTTTAATACAAAGATTATTATGCATTTTTATGTGTTGGAATAATTTCTTTATAAGAGTTGTAGATTTTTTTATAAAATTTACAGGAATTGGATAATGGTGACCAAATTTTGCAAATTTACCAAAATTTTACAAATTTAGCATAATTTTTGGTTAAAAAACTGTCACAAATTTAAGGTTATAAATTTTAATACAAATATTATTTTTATAAAATAGATAATTTTGTATATTGTATGTTAATGAAAATGGTCAAATTTGTTAATTTTTGTAAATTGATTGGTATGAACTATAGTAAATAACTTTCTGTATATTAGATTAAAAATATTTGCACCCTTTTTCACAAATTTTGGCAAATTTTGAAATGAATGCAAATTTTTACAAAAAAAATGAAAATTAATTTAGTAAAAATTGATAGGACTTAAGCAAAATTAAGAAAGTTTTGCCAAAATTGATTGAAAGTTTTATTAAAATTGATAAAGTGTTGCCAGAGTTGATAAAGTGTTGCCAGAGTTGATAAAGTGTTGCCAGAGTTGATAAAGTGTTGCCAGATTTGATAAAGTGTTGCCAGATTTGATAAAGTGTTGCCAGATTTGATAAAGTGTTGCCAGATTTGATAAAGTGTTGCCAGATTTGATAAAGTGTTGCCAGATTTGATAAAGTGTTGCCAGATTTGATAAAGTGTTGCCAGATTTGATAAAGTGTTGCCAGATTTGATAAAGTGTTGCCAGATTTGATAAAGTGTTGCCAAAATTGACAAATTTTGCTAAATTTGACGAAATTTTGCTAAATTTGACGAAATTTTGCTAAATTTGACGAAATATTGCTAAATTTGACTAAATTTTGCTAAATTTGAGCCAATTTTACGGAATTTTGCTAAATTTGGCAAATCTCTGTCAAATTTGTAAAATTCTGTCAAATTTGGCAAAACTCTGTTAAATTTGGCAAAACTCTGTTAAATTTGGCAAAACTCTGTTAAATTTGGCAAAACTTGGTCAAATTTGGCAAAACTTGGTCAAATTTGGCAAAACTTTGTTAAATTTGGCAAAACTTGGTCAAATTTAGCAAAATTTGGTCAAATTTGGCAAAACTTGGTCAAATTTAGCAAAATTTGGTCAAATTTGGCAAATTTTGGCAAATCTCAGAAAATTTTGGCATATTTTGGCAAATTTGTCTAATTTTAGTCAAAAAATTGATTTTAACAAAACTAGTATATTTAATAATTTTTATCAAAAAATGAAACAAATATCAAAATTTTATGTAAATCGACGGATTTTGGACGAAATCGGAAAAACCATTCAAAATTAGAGAAAAAGTGTATAAATTTATTGAATTCGATAAATTTGCAAAAGTATCGCTAAATTTAAAAAAATTGGATAAATTTTATTAGGAAAAATCTTAAAACAAAAATTAAGATACTTGAAAGATTGATCTGAAATTTTTATGAAAATTGCGAAATCACACAAAATTTTACAAAATTTGGTTTCAGTAGATATTTATCTAATTTTCATAATTAAAAAAATATAAATTCATATATACATTTGCGAAATGTTCCAAAACCTTAAAAATTTCTTTTTTGTTTGAATATCAAAATTTTATGAAAAAACGGCAATTTTTGTAAAAATTGGAAAAACCACTCAAAAAAATTAGTGACAAATTATATAAATTTATAAAATTTGATAAATTTGCACAAATATTTCTAAATTAAAAAAAAAAGGAAAACTTTTATTAAGAAAACTGGAAAAATCTTTGGAAAAATTAAAATTCTTAAAAGATTAATAAAAAATCTGTCTTTCTTTTGAAATTCTTGAAATGAAAATCGCGTAATCCCTCAAAATTTTGCAAAATTTAAATAAATTTATTTGATTTCAGTAGATATTTATCTTATTTTTATTATTTAGAAAAAGTATTTGCAAAAGTAAAGTAAAAGTAAAATAATTACAAATTTCTAGATAAATAAATGTTTGCAAAATATTCCTAAATTAAAAAAAAAATCTTTATAGTTTCAAGACATCTCCAATTTTATTTGCTATCGATTTATAGTTTCTATTTGCAATTGGATCATGAATTTCAATCAAATAGCAACTTGCCAAAACAGGCACTACTAGTTACAATAAAAATATTGCAAGTCGTCTTCAAAAGCGCCAATAAATATTCTTACTTTTAATTTTTGAAAAATAACCAAAAACTTCACACAAACCTGGGATAAAAAATCCACACAAACCTTTCTGGGATAAAAAATCAATTATCCCTTATCCCTTATCCCTTATCCCTTATCCCTCACCAGACGCTGCACTTATGAACAGGATTCATGGGCGACCCCGAAGGACAATTGAAAGCCTCGGCGAAATCTTTCGAATTAGAAAGTGGCCCTAGAACCCTTATTATGCCCGGAGAGTGCACCGAGGACCTTATCTTGGTAAGGGCGTCTTCTGGCCTCATTGACCCGCACCAGATCTGGGCGTAGTTTAGGAAAAATAGCTGGTCGTGGGTCATGTTGACCCCTGGTAGGGCCAGATCGGGGCCGTTGGTGGCCTTCCATTTTTGGTAAGCCTAGATAAAGGACAAGAATTTTTTATTGCTTGTCAGTAGAGTCCATTTTTTAAAAAAGATATTTTCTGAAGAAGATTTTCTTTTAGTTTCCAAATTGTTGGTGTAAAGGACATATGTTGGTTTTTGGATGTGTAATGGATATATATATATATATATATATATATATATAGGGTGGTCCTTAAAATGGTCATTTTCGAATTTCCTTTTTCCCAGGGGCTCAAATGGTTCTAAATAGATAAAAAACAATTCTCTGAAAGTTTTAGCTCTTAATATTAACGTTTAGATAGAGCGCAATTCAATCAAAGTTTGTATGGAAAGTGCATGGAAAAAAATTTGAAAATTAAAAAAACATGCGTTAGGTGTAACTTAGCGACAAATGAATGAGTTTTATTCATTCATTTGTTCGCTAAATTACATCTAAAAAACATTTTTAAAATTTTTGAAAATTTTTCCATGCTATTTCCATACAAAACTTAGATTGAATTGCGCTCTATCTAAACGTTAATATTAAGAGCTAAAACTTTCAGAGAATTGTTTTTTATCTATTTGGAACCATTTGAGCCCCTGGGAGCAAGGAAATTCGAAAATGACCATTTTAAGGACCACCCTAATATATATATATATATATATATATATATATGTATATATATATATATATATATATATATATATATATATATATACTTTGTAGAGTTTCGAACAAGAATCCAAAAAGTAATAAAAAACAAAAAAAGTTTTTTAATAAACTATTTCTTCATCGTCATCAGTTCATTACAAACAGCCGATCTCATAACATCGAGAGAATAATATTGTTTGTTTCAAATAACAAACTTAAAAAAGTCATAACTTGTAGTAATTTTGATTTACAAAATTTACCTATTCGGCTGAAAAATAACTCATAAATTCAATTTTTGTTAAAATCTTGTTTTGAAAAAGTTCTAACGGATATTCAAACATACAGGTAATTAACTCAATTTTGTCATTAACCTTTTCTTATAATTTTCCATAAATTTTATCATTTTTAATATCTTGTTATATAATCCACTCATTTATTTTTATCATTTTCATTTTGATCATATTATCATATTTCTGTACATTATTATTTTTTCAATTAAAAAATCCATTTTCTTTTTTTAAACGTATTGTTTGCTTAAATCTTATCAAGATCATGTTTCTTGACAGATGTCCTGAAGATGGAACGTACCTAGTTCCAAAACGTCGACAGTACATAAATAGTGAAAGAAAGAAATAGTTTATTTAATTTTTTTTTTTGTTTTTTATTACTTTTTGGATTCTCGTTCGAAACTCTACAATATATATACATATATATATATATATATATATATATATATATATATTTATATATATATATATATATATATATATATATATATATATATCTTGATTTGTTTATTTCGACTTTGAAACATATTGTGATAAGGTTTTTCAGTCACAAATCGAAAATTGTTACATCTTTTTTTTTATTTTCCATAAAATATTTTTGTAATTTTTGTAATTTTGGATTAAAAATTAAAAAAATCACCCAGGCTAAGCACAGTCTTAGCGCCACCCTGGTACAAATGTTTACCCAAGTGGACTCTACTGACGAGCAAACTTAATCTAGAATTTAAAAAGGGACTCTGCTGACGAGCAAACTTAATCTAGAATTTAAAAAGGGACTCTACTGACAAGCAGATGTAATCTAGAATTAAAAAAGGGACTCTACTGACGAGCAAATTAATCTAGAATTAAAAAAAGGACTCTACTGACGAGCAAACTTAATCTAGAATTAAAAAAGGGACTCTGCTGACGAGCAAACTTAATCTAGAATTTAAAAAAGGACTCTACTGACGAGCAAAAGCTAAATATATAAAAGGGGACTTTACTGACGAGCAGACGAATATTTCAGTTTGCTCGTCAGTTCATATAATTTAAAATATAGTTTGCTTGTCAGTAGAGTCATTTTTATTTTCATATCTGATAAAATACAGTTGATGATAAAAAATATTAAATACAAAAATTCATAAAATCACCCAGGCTAAGCACAGTCTAAGCGCCACTCTGCATAGTTGAACTAAAAATGAAATTAAAAAGGGACTCTACTGACGAGCATACTAAAAATAAAATTAAAAAAGAACTACTGACGAGCAAAATTGAAATTGAAGGAAAATGGGACTCTACTGACGACCAAATTAAAAATGAAAAAGGGAGAGGACTCTACTGACGAGCAAAACTAAAAATAAAATTAAAAAGGGACTATACTGACGAGCAAAACTAAAAATAACAGAAAAATAAACGCTACTATTAAATTAAAAAATGGAAGAAAATGGGACTCTACTGACTAGCAAAATTAAAAATTAAAGAAAAAGGGACTCTACTGACGACCAAATTAAAAATGAAAAAGGGAGGGGACTCTACTGACGAACAAAACTAAAAATAAAATAAAAAATGGACTTGTAGTTTCTATAAATCTTTGAAGTCATTAAAATGTAAAATATTTTTATGCAAGACAGATATTACAGCTGTTCAAAGAATGAGATTATAACGCCAGCGAAATAGTAAAAAAAAGACAAGCAGTCGATGAATGTATGTTAATTTTAATTACATGAAGTTCTTCAAACACAATTATTACATGATGAGTGAATTTGTTAAAACAATATTTGTTGAACGAATGTTATAGAAGTTATTAATCAGCAATCACTTCATTTCTCTAATGAAGGTTCATTTCTAAATGCTAATTACAATGACAAACCGATCATGTCACATTCGAAGTATGACTTTAATTACACTATCGTTTTTCAATATTATGCATATTTTTAATGCTATTATAAACATATAATTTATAATTATCATTATATAAATGTGTATAATGATTGACGACATTAATAAATGTGTGCATCACGATGAGTGTTAACCATATTACTATTAAACATCATTCAACATTGTAAAATATGATGTATTTATTTTTACTTGTATGCCATATTGTACAGTAGCAAATAAGTTTTACATCAATCGCGTATGAACCTTACGCGCACTCTTTTTTCGACTTGTGGCTGAAAAACCTTATCACAGATATATATATATATATATATATATATATTTATATATATATATATGATTTATTACCCTGTAGCTTTGTTTGAGTCCACCGTTGTCTGCAATGTTTTCGCCCTGGGTCATCCTGCCGTTCATGTAGAGACCTACTTCGTCAATTTTGTATTTGCTGTACTGGTCAACTATGCATTGGGCGCGTTCCCTAAAAGCTTTCACGGTTGCATTGTTCCACCATTGCATCATGTTGCCATCTTTGTCGAATTGGCGACCTGGGGAAAAAAGTTGGAGGAATAAAAGTTAAAGGTTGAATTGCGATTCTAGTGAACTTTTTGGTGTCAGCGATAACCCAAAGTCTGGATATACAGAATGAGTATACCAATGGAAGTCCGGTGTCGTGGCGAGAGTAAATGCGTTAACTATTGATTAAAACTAATTTATAAGAAAGTGATACGCTGTGTTTTAATTAATAGTTTTAATCTGTGCTTTCAAACTAGAGTCCACTGAATATGATACAAACAATGTGTCGAAACGTATGGAAACAATAAAAATGTTATAAGTTTATACAAGCTTTTAATTTATGTATTGCTCTGAAGACTGAATCTCATATATCTCAACATCAAAGAAATAAAGGAGTTTTAGGTGATCAACAATAATTAGAAGTTTTGAGGCATGAGGGAAAATTTTTGGGGAAAATTCTTATGCTTGTTCCTTATTAGTAAAACTGTAAAAATGTCTATCTATGTTTATCTATTCTATATTATGTATTTGTATAAATATTATCCTAGAATTGAACCTAAGAGTAAATTTACGTTGATGGTGATCTCTATGATATGCTGAAAGAAATAAAATTTATATAATTTCACCGTGTTTGCCATCTATTTATACTTGTTTTACTATGGATATGTATTAGTTTGGTGTTTTATTTTTGGAATACGTAATTTTTATAGGTTGGTTTTTGGATTTTATCGACAAGAATTGAGACATGTTTTTTTTTCAAAAATATGACTATTTGAATTATAGTAATGGGCCAAAAATCGAAAGAATTTTTTTTTTAAATCTTCACGTTTCAGACATTTCTGAACATTTTGGCATACCTCATAAAAAATTGATGTGTATGTGTAGAGACAATTTTTCGTCGACGATTTCGGACGTACGGATTACCCGATTTGAATGGTTTAAAATACATTCGATTTCTATTGTTGATGAAACATATATTCTGGAATATAATATTCTGGATATTATTTATTTTATCTTACAATACCTATATTTTCACGTAAATATTAAATAAAGCAACATTTTCTTTTTTTTTAATACAGCGAAAGTTGATGATCTTGGTGGCGCCTCTATGGAGAGCGGTATCAATTAAACTTGAGGTACTTTATCGTGAGCAAATTAATACACAGTTGTAATTTGCCTAAAGGCAAAATGCCACCCACACCTAGTTAACTTCCCGTAGGGTAAGTTATTGTAATGGGCCGAAAATCGCAAATGAAAATTTTTGCATTTCTCGACGTTTTGAAGGTTTCTGAACATTTTTAAGGGGCATACCTCAGAAAAAATGCATGTGTGAAAAGTTTTTTTTTGTTCTAATGCACGATGCCATACACCACTAGTTACTTACCTTTGTCGTCAAATCCGTGGGTTATCTCGTGACCAATAACGACACCAATTCCACCATAGTTGAGGGATTTTGGAAACTTTTGGCTGTAGAATGATGGTTGGAGGATTCCAGCAGGAAACACTAAAATATTAAAAATATTGACAATGACTATCTATTTGCCGTGCGATCAGGCGTATTTTACATATAAACAATCAAGGAAGAATGTTATGATAACAGAATTCTAGATGATGCAGTTATCATAACGTTTATCCTTGCTTGCATGGCCGGTAATCTCCGAACAAATGAAGATTACCGTGTTTTGAAATGGAATGGTATTTGAATAGTTCGAAGGATGGCGCTACGATTTCCAATTTCATTGATCTAGCAGCTGGCTTGTTGATCTACATTGATTTGATCGGCCATCTTCTATAAGTTGTCAAATTGTCATCGCGTATTGTAGTTGAGATTTTCTGTGATTGTTTATATATAAATATGTTTTGGTGAATACGTTTTTCATTTATTATTAAGTTAAAATGATAAAGTGTTATGTGCCAAATTGTTATAACCCCAAATATAATAAAAAAATGCATGTTTTTCCGGCATCTAATTATCAGGTATGTACTTATATAATTATGTATTATGCATATAATGAATATGTATCATCACAATACTATTAAAATGTTATATATATATATATATATATATATATATATATATATATTTGTGTAAATATATATTATATATATATTTGTGTGTAAAAATTTGTGTGTAAAAAGATGCTTTCAATTTGGATGCAGAGGGCGAATAATCTTTTAATGGATGACCTAACTCTTCGGTTTGTGGCACAAATCAACGATAATTTGAAATCGAAACCAAATAGAAGTGTCTCCTTTACGGCAATAACAAAATAGTTTTCAAGTCACTGGAGAATGCTCTGATACAGAACCAGAAGAACAATCTGCAACTCCAAGGACAAAGCCAAGTAATTATAACTCTAAATACTTCAATAACATTTGCAAAAAAAAATTAATAAATGAATCTTATGTTCTTAGGAGATGGAAGCCTAAACACCTTGAAAAAGATTTTTGCAGCACCTCTAAGATTGTGAAGTGCAGGTTAAAAGTCACCTATTCTGACACCAGTTTTCCGAAAAGGTATTTTTTCATACTAATTGCAGCAAAAATATTTAATATGATAATTACAATATCTTCAATTAATATGATATAACAATATATTCAATAGAAGTCCTTGATGGTAGCTGCAAATTGCCGCAGAATGCAATGATTAGGCGTAGGAGTGCCTTAACACCCAGAAGATGTATGATACATCAAATTTTGTTTCGGGATTAAAATGCAATGCAATAATTTAAAGGATAAATTCCAACAGAGTATACAATGTTCTGAGAAGTTTTCAAATATTCCGGAAACTTAAAATGTAAGGTCAAGAATTTTGATAATGTCTCAATTAAGAGAGCATACTCAAAGACCAGACAGTTTATAAAGCGCAAGGGTTTAGTTATAGTTTTAACTAAACCTCCTTGCAATAAAAACTGGATTAAAACGATAGATAGATTTGAGCTACAATTGGTATAAATTAAAAGTAGTTCAGGGTTTTGGTTACTTACGTTTAAAAACACTTATACAGAAACTATTCAAAGATTTTGTCAAATATAACTTTATTAATGATTGATTAGATAGCAAAATAACTATTAAATGGAGAGATAATAAACAAGAATGTCTCGTAAATGAATTTTAATCCTAGGAATTTAGTTTTATCTCAATTTGGATATCAATATATATATGTTTTGTTTTTAGGATTATTTTGTTTGGAAAGTATTCATTCTTTTTTAAAAATGTGCTGTTCTTTTTATCCTTTTAAATTATTGCATTACTTGTCATTCCTTCTAAATTTGTCATTACATCATCAATACTCCTGCACTTTTTACTTCTTAGTTTTTAAGTTTTTAATATATTATTATTAGTCATTAAGTAATTAATATGAATAAGTTATTTCTAGAATATTAATAGAATAAGTACTTTAAAAATATGTCTGTAATATACTTTAATTAATAGTAGTCAGTTATTTCTGTTTAGATTATAATTCTTCAAAAATATGTCTGTGATATATTTGAAAATATATTTTGTATTTCGTATGTTTTGTTCTTATTTCAAATAATAATTTATTTCAGATTTTTGGGCTGTATTGATTTGATGTACAAATGTAGAAGTAATACCAGGGGTTAATTTACATACTGTATGTACATGTGCTTCCATGTAGTGATCTATTCGTAAATTAAAATGAGTGTAACGTCAAATGGCCCGAGATAGCGATCTATTTATGCTTATTTATCTATGCTTGCTTGTTTATATGTAAAATACGCCCGATCGCACAGCAAATAGATAGACATTTTCACAAGCTTAACAAACAATAAACTATTTTATGAAGCAGAATTGCTCTCTTAGATTCTGAAGATTGTAAAATATTTAAATTTGTCCATAGAAGATTTTTAGAAGTCGCCTTTTTTAAATTGCTCGTCATTAGAGTCCATTTATTTTTACTTCTAGCATTAGTTTGCTCGTCAGCAGACTTCATATTAATGTTAATTTTGTGTTTGCTCGTCAGTCGAGTCCCTTCTTTAATTCTAGATTTTATTTGCTCGTTGGTAGAGTTCTTTTACATTTTGATTTGTAGATTCAGTTTTTTGCTTGTCAGTAGAGTCTCTTTTTTAATTCTAGATTTAGTTTGGTCGTCAGTAGAGTCCTTTTTTTAAATTCTGTATTACATTTGCTCGTCAGTAGAGTCTCTTTTTAAATTCTAGATTTTATTTGATCGTCGGTAGAGTTCTTTTACATTTTTTTTCTACATTCAGTTTTTTGCTTGTCAGTAGACTCCCTTTTTTAACTGTAGATTAATTATGCTTGTCAGTAGAGTTCCTTTTTTAATTATATATTACATTTGCTCGTCAGTACAGTCCCTTTTTTAATTCTATATTACATTTGCTCGTCAGTAGAGTCCTTTTTTGTAGATTTTTAGATTAATTATGCTTTTCTGTAGATTTCCAAATCAAGCTTGCTCGTCAGTAGAGTCCCTTTTTTAACTTTAATTATGCTATGTCAGTAGAGTCCTTTCTAGAGTATTCTAGATGCTGCAGTTATCATAAGATTCTTTCTTGCTTTGTTTATATGTAAAATACGACTGACCGCACGGCAAATACATAGACATTTTCACAATTTCACTAAATCGTTGCCATGACAACGCTATTTTATGAGGCAGATTTGCCAGGTATTTGTAATTATATAATTCTTTACTCACCAATATCGTTTTTGTTCGGATTATAAAAAGCATTCACAACTGCCGGTTCTGTTGCCCATTTGTCTTTATCCACAGGCCGCCTTAGAAGTTGCATGTTTTTGTGAGCGTCCCATTTCAGTACATTCATAATATTTAAAAGAAAGTTTTTCTCTGATATATTCAACTGCAAAAAAAAAGATAAACAACTTGAATGACGAGAAATTTTATCTATGATTTTATCCACTTTACCAGTTTATACTCCGATTCCAAATCCTGTTTTTGAGTCAAAAAATCAGGATAACCGATTCGTTCATTCATGGCATCTGCTTTTTCTTTGGCAACTGCTCTTGTCTCGTCGTCCATCCAATGGTTGTCTGCTAGAAGATCGTTGAAGGCTTCTCTGATATTTTTGATCATTTCTAAAGCAGTGTCCTGGAAAAAAATAGTCACATTCTAAACGCACTTGCAAAAAATTTTGTACTGGGTTGTCACTTAGACTGTGCTTAGTCTGGGTAGTTTTTCACATTTTTTCAAATTTTTTTAACTCGAAATTACATTTTTATAATTTACATAAAATTGGGAAAGTGCTTCCGTATAGTCACAGTCTAAACGCATTTGCAAATAATTCTGTGCGACATTTTCACTTATACTGTGCTCAGCTTGGCGCCATTTTTACATTTTTCAATAGTTTTTCCCAAAATTTATAAAAACGCTCCCACATAGTCACATTCTAAACGCACTTGCGAAAATTTTTGTACCAGTGTGGCGCTTAGACTGTGCTTAGCCTGGGTAGTTTTTTTTACATTTCTATAGTTTATTTATCTAAAATTAAAATTTATATCCAAATCATTTTTGATATCAAAAGAATATTCTTTGAACATTTAAAAAAATTGAAATTTCAAAATAAGAAACTAGGAGTGCCTTAAGGTAAATTGCTGGAACTTTCCTAACCATAATAAAACTAGTGGTGTATGGCATTGTGCCTTAAGGCAAATTGCTGGAACTTTATGTACCGTAATAAAATATACGAGAAATTTCAAACGTTTTCAAATATATTATTACAAATACTGTAACTTTCATTATTTCTGATATCTTGTTATTATATCTGAGCAAATCAAATGTAAATTATAAATAAAACAATTTATTTCCAGGAACATTTACAATCGTCTTTTCATTTCGAATTCAATTTCAAAAAAATAGTTGCCTGATTTAAACAAAATTGAAAAAGCGCTCCCGTACAGTCACAGTCTAAACGCACTTGCAAATAATTCTGTGCGACATTTTCACTTAAACTGTGCTTAGCTTGGCGGCATTTTCACATTTTTCAATAGTTTTCACACAAAATTCGAATTCGAAAAGTGCTCCAGTACAATAACAGTCTGAACGCACTTGGCTAAAAATTTGTACCAGAGTGGCGCTTAGACTGTGCTTAGCCTGGGTAATTTTCTGAATTTTTTGAATTTTTGGAATTTTTTTAATTATCCAAAAGTTAATATTTAGTTTATCTTACCTTGCTCTCCTGGTTGAAGTTATCTCGGATAAACAAAGCTCCGACAGCCATTCCCAGTTTTTTGTTTGTCCATTCAACACATTGTGACCAGCGTTGTCGTTCACTTTGGATGCCCATCAGGATTTTACGGAATTCAACACGTTCTCTTTGGAAATCGTCGATCATGTGGGTTGTCATTGACATCATTAGACGCCAAATGACGTAGTTGTGGATGATCCTACAATTGGAATAAAGTAATAAATGGTAATAGATGTTACAATAATTGTTTAAGGGGGTTGTTCTTTTTTTATTTTTTTTTGTTTCGGTTTTGAGATTTTTTGATATTATGAAAGCTAAAAACCTTAGAATTATTTAGAAAAAATCATCTCAATATCTATTTTTTGACGAAGTTATGGATATATATATCTCTGTATGTATGATCCTCTGAAACCGTTTTTTCATCGCTCCGCGAGCTATTGTATGCCAGCTGCTCTCTTTTTCATTATAATACCTCATTCACATGACCTTTTTAATGTGTCAGCATCTTTGAACACCATGGTGTATTTAGTACATTAAATTAAATGGTGTATTTAGTTCATTATAAGAATTACAAGAATTGCTGAAGTCCCATAAGAATTAATAGAGTTTTGCTATAAAGTTATGAATATTTTGGCAACTTTGGATCTCCAAATATCTTGCCCAAAATACCTTTTATCCGTTTCGGCAATCAGTTTACCCATCTCGGTAAAGTAAGAGATTGCATAACTGACAACTGGCTCATCCATGGTTATGTTTACATGAGATAGACATGCCTGAAGGTACTCTAACCACTTAATTTGGGGAACCTTGGCGTGAAGCTCCTTCAATTTGAATCTTCTGTAAATTGCTGAAGTGTCCTGGCGCTCTGTTTCTGGTAACGAGATCTACAAAACAAAGATAAATGAAATTCGGTGTTGATAGTAAATATAGAAACTGAAAAAGATCTCCACTAACTAAATAGATATAAAAGATATAGAAAGGAAACATAAAAAAGGACTCTACTGACGAGGAAATTAAAAATGAAAAAGGGAGGGGACTCTACTGACAACCAAATTTAAAGAGACTTTACTGATGATTAAATTAAAATTAAAGGTAAAAGCGACTCTACTGACGAGCAAACATAATTTTAATCCAGAACATAAAAATGGACTCTACTGACAAGCAAACTTTAATTACAATCGAGTTGATAAAAAGGGACTCTACTGATGACTAAATTTAAAATTAGTAAATATAAAAACTGAAAAAGATCTCCACTAACTGGTATAGATATAAAAGATATAGAAAGGAAACATATAAAAAAGGACTCTACTGACGAGAAAACTTTAGTTTAGTTTGACAGATTCTAAAGCTGTTAAATGAAAAAATAAAAGGACTCTACTGACGAGCAAACATATTTTTAATCCAGAACATAAAAATTGACTCTACCGACAAGCAAACTTTAATTACAATCGAGTTAATAAAAAAGGACTCTACTGATGACTAAATTTGAAATTAGTAAATATAAAAACTGAAAAAGATCCCCACCAACTGGTATAGATACAAAAGATATAGAAAGGAAACATATAAAAAAGGACTCTACTGACGAGGAAACTCAATTTTAATAAAATGTTTGTGATGGGACTCTACTGACAAGCAAACTTTAATTACAATCTAGTTGATAAAAAGGGACTCTACTGATGACTAAATTCAAAGTTAGGGATCGTTCAAGTATGACGTAAGCAGATTTATTACAATTATTTACCCGCCCCCCATCCCCCTTATCAGCAAAAGTAAGCGAAGCTCTTACCCCCTACCCCCATGCTTACATAAATATTTTGCAATTAATGTAAAAAAATAAGACATAAAGTAGAAGGACTCGACTGACGAGCAAACTAAGCCTCGACATGATGAGAAAAATTAAAACGAAAAATATGTCAAAAGGACTCTACTGAAGTGCAATAAATAAGAATGTAAAATATGAAATAGGACTCTACAGACGAGAAAACCATAATTCGATATAATATGTAATAAAAAGGACTCTACTAACGAGCAAACTGGAAAACCAGATATAAAATAAAAGGACTCTACTGACGAGCAAATTGCGTCTCGACATTATAAGAAAAAGAACATAAAAGATAAAAAGGGATTGTACTGATGAGCAAACCAAAATTCGATACATAATAAAAAAAGGACTCTACTAACGAGCAAACTGAAAAACAAGATATAAAATAAAAAAAACTCTACTGATGAGCAAATTGAACCTAGACAAGATAATTAAAGGAAGAACGTAGAAAATAAAAAAGAACTCTACTGACGAGCAAACTCTATATGTAAAAAAGGACTCTACTAACGAGCAAACTGCAAAACCAGATATAAAATAAAAGGACTCGACTGACAAGCAAACCGAAATTTAACATATAATAAAAAATGACTTTATTAACAAGCAACCTCGATATCGTAAGAAAAAGAAGAACATAGAAGATAAAAAAGGACTCTACTGACGAGCAAACTGCAAAACCAGATATAAAATTAAAAAAACTCGACTGACAAACAAACTGAACCTACCATGATAAAAAAAATAAGAATGTAGAAGATGTAAAAAGGAAACTACTGACGAGCAAATCGAAACTCTATATGTAAAAAACGACTCTACTACCGAGCAAACTGAAAAACAAGCCAAAAAATAAAAGGGCATGGTAAGAAAAATAAGGCATTATAAAAAAATGTAGAAGATGAAAAGGAACTCTACTCACAAGCAAACGGAAATTCGATATATAATAAGAAAGGACTCTACTAACAAGCAAACTAAAAAAATAGATATAAAATAAAAGGACTCGACTGACAAGCAAACCGAAATTCGACATATAATAAAACCTATGACGTAATCATCATCCAGATTCCCCTGCCCACCATGTCATCCCAAAACAAGCAAATCAACAACCCTCCTTACGTAATACTTGAACTGCCCTTTGGTGGATATTTGTCTTTCACTTACATTAGCCAATTTGCTCTCAAATTCCAAAACTTCTCTCATATCATCCTCTGCTTTTACCGGATCGGCTCCCATCAAAATTGCAACTTGCGTCATATACCGATGGTAAGCTTGTAAATCTCCTTCGCTGCTGTTTTTAAGATAATAGTCTCTCGATGGAAGTGCCAAAGCAAGCTGGTCGAGCTGGAATTTAGGCACCAATTAGTCGAATTTGATAGAATTTAGCAGTGGCGTAACTAGACGCCCGGGGCCCGTGGCAAAATCATCCGATGGGGCCCTATCGTAGTACTCAATTTTTAATTTATTTAATTTTGTTTAATGAAAGTTAATAGTTTTACCACTGGCTAAAACAATTTTTAATGAATTTTATCACAATTAGCAAACCAATTTCGACTAATTTATATTTTATGGCATATTGAAAAAAAATGAAATTATACAAAAGGTAGAAAAGTAAAGTATTGACTTAGAGGTATAATTATAATTTAGTTGTAATTATATAAAAATAACAAAAAATACATAAAACTTAATTTTTCTTACAAATCAAACATGAAATATTAGTGAATATTTTCAACGTTAGAATAAATGGAAATTAAAATTAAACGCATTTTTTTTTAAAATAAAAATTAAATAAATACCACTTTTTTAAATTTAATTATTACATAACCTTCCATTAACAATTTGATTTTTTTGCTGTAATTAATTTTATTGATTAAGTAGTGACGTTCGATCTTTATGAAAATTTATGATTTAAACAATACCCCTGATTGAAAAATATGCATTTCTCGAAAATCCAATCCGTTTCAATACCTTTTGGACTATTTTTTAGCGAAGATGAAGACATTTGTCATCTAGCTTCTTTTTGAAGAAACAATAGTTAACCCTGCACCTATTCAAAATCAAATAAAAATAAAATATTAACTTCCATAAGCTATTTAGTAAATAAAATCCTTTCTTACTGCTTTGAGTTGCGTCAAAGTGTCTATTCCGAAGAATTTCCTATTCCACCTCTGAAATTTGATCGAAAACTAAATTTCCCTGGCAAATAGAAATCAGAATCGGAACAAATGTTTTTTTTTATCGTACTGATCTATTAAACCACACTAGTGGCGTCTAATTTTAAATTTTCAAATTCATGCCAATAATTTTCTAATTCTTAACAAATTTTTAAATGTTTATAGCATTTGAAATATCAGTGGTTTTAGATTATAGCGCTTTAGACGCTGCGGCGATAGTAGTAGAATATTACAATGGAAAACCTATAATAAAATAATTGTAGTTTGCAAACTTCTTTTTATGTAAAATAGTTTCATTTTGGATATCAACAAAACGGAGTTTAAAAGCAAGAATAGCATCAGTATGTCGTGCACATCTAGAAGGCCTAAATATTTTTAATGTTATTTTGTAATTAGATTCAAATCTTGATAAAATATTCCATCTTTTTATATCATGGCTAAAATAATTGAAAATTCATAAACCGTTTAAACAAAACGCGTTAAAATATGAAGAAACTAGTGGATGTGTTCTAAAGCGGATTAAATTTTGTTCAGAATGTGTTGAAATTAGGCTTGTAACAAATCGTATAATCAGCAACTGATTATAATAAATAAAATTAAGAAAGAGACTTGTCGGAGTCCATATGTCAGAAGTATAATCTGCTTCTGAAGATAAACTTTTAATTTTCAAAAGCAAAAATAATATTTGTATTTTCTGCGATAAAAAACCTAAGGTAGCTCTTTATTTAGTAAAGGCTTAGATTGAATATAATGAATGACTTCATTGTATATGAACGTAGCCGTTAAATGATTAATATTATATGTCATTTAACTATAAAAATAACGTATTCTTTGAATATTCACTATTATTCCTAGTATAGTCACTATTATTCCTAGAGACTGAAATTTTAGAAAATTTCACTTAATTAATAATTCAGTTTTTAATAAAGTGAGAGTATTTTTATCTGAAATCATTTATGAAAAATTCAGAAAATTATAGAAAATTAGATAGAATGATAAATAACTATTCTTCTAATTTCATGTATTTTTATATTTTGTGATAAAAATCTCTTCTTAAGGAGGCCCCCAAACAAATTTTGATACGAGGCCCCGCGAAGGCGTGCTACGTCTCTGATATTGAGAAAAAAGTTCTTCACGTGTTCGTTTTTTTATCTGAAAAGTCGATAACGTTTAAGTTATTTCATATACAATAATAAATTATTTCATTCATTCTTCATATCATATTATATAAACTAATGATTCTCAAATGCAGATCCATCGCAGCTCTTTATCGCATAAAAGATAAAACACAATACTTTCGCTGTGCGGCGGCGACTCCTTTGGTTTTAACTAACTAAATATTCGATGCAAGCCTGGTTGAATAATTAACTCCAACTTTGAACTTAAAAAATATAAAATATAAGTTTCAAGTGAAATAAAATTTATGTACAATGTAAAAATGTATAGTATGTTTCCTGGGCCGGGGCTCCCTATAGTTCCCACCGACGCCACCCTATAGTTACGCCACTGGAATTTAGATTGATAGTCTACATTGAACTTTTATCATGAGCGCTCAACTTGAAGCCCTTACATGATCGCACCTGGATGATGTGTGCAGAAGAATTCTTGTCATCGGCTCCCACGTACAATTCTATCAGAATGGGTTCACTGTAATCAGATCTGAGGCGCCCTAGAAGGGTTTCTAGGGTGAAATTTGGCAGCTTCCAATTGTCGTCTAACACCGGCCAACCGCCCAACGATGTGATGACATTCCTCAAGGGACCGTCACCGATTTTTCTGATTTGTTCTGCAAAATAAAACAAACTAAAATAGTGAATAGAACGAAAATAGGTTTGGAGTAAAACTTCTTCAGGCGCGACTAGGGTGTAAATATAAGATACGTATAAATAAGATAAGGGTCGAGTGCCAATATCATTTCTATACGGGTCGATTGTGATTAGTTGTCGTGTATGTGAATATAAATCTGTCGTTGTATAACAAGGAAATCGGCATAGATGAATAAACATTTTCAAAGTCACATCTTAGTTCAAATTTTTGAATTAAAACTTCTTTAGGCGCGACTAGGGTGTAAATCCGTACAAATAAGATAAGGGTCGAGTGCCTATGATTTTCCAGTCATTCGCTCTCGATTATATCATTTCTATACGGGTCGATTGTGATTAGTCGTCGTGTATGTGAATAGAGATCTGTCGTTATAACAAGGAAATCGGCATAGATGAATAAACATTTTCAAAGTCACATCTTAGTACAAATTTTTGAATTAAAACTTTTTTAGTCGCGACTAGGGTGTAAATCCGTACAAATAAGATAAGGGTTGAATGCGAATGATTTTCCAGTCATTCGCTCTCGATTATATCATTTCTATACGGGTCGATTGTGATTAGCCGTCGTGTATGTGAATAGAGATCTGTCGTTGTATAACAAGAAAATCGGCATGGATGAATAAACATTTTCAAAGTCACATCTTAGTTCAAATTTTTGAATTAAAACTTCTTTAGGCGCGACTAGGGTGTAAATCCGTACAAATAAGATAAGGATTGAGTGCCTATGATTTTCCAGTCATTCGCTCTCGATTATATCATTTCTATACGGGTCGATTGTGATTAGTCGTCGTGTATGTGAATATAAATCTGTCGTTGTATAACAAGGAAATCGGCGTAGATAAATGAACTTTTCAAAGTCACATCTTAGTACAAATTTTTGAATTAAAACTTCTTTAGGCGCGACTAGGGTGTAAATCCATACAAATAAAATAAGGGTCGAGCGCCAATGATTCGTCATTCGCTCTCCATGATATCATTTCTATACGGGTCAATTGTGATTAGTCGTTGTGTATGTGAATAGACATCTGTCGTTGTATAACAAGGAAATCTACATAGATGAATAAATTTTTCAAAGTCACATCTTAGTGCAAAGCTTGATTTAATGAAAAATCAGTAGCCTGAATCAGAAGAGTATTTTGCCCTGTTTTTTGAAAATATTAAAACAAATTAAGCATTTGTGCCGTGTACTAAACGTATCTTTATTGATTAGAAATTATTTCTATATTATTCGTAAATAAAAAGGGACTCTACTGACGTCCAAACTAAAAATGAAAAAAGAAGAAGGACTCTACTGACAAAAATAAAAATTAAATTCAAAGTGACTCTACTGATGATTAAATTAAAATTAAAGGTAAAAGGGACTATACTGACGAGCATACTGAAAGGGACTCTACTGACGAGCATATAAAAATAAAATTAAAAAGGGACTCTACTGACAAGCGAAACTAAAAATAAAAGAAAATAAACTCTACTAATAATTAAATTAAAAATGGAAGAAAATGGCACTCTACTGACGAACAAACTAAAAATTAAAGAAAATGGGACTCTACTGACGAGAAAAATAAAAATAAAATTTAAAGAGACTCTACTGATGAATAAATAAAAAATTAAAGAAAATGGGACTCTACTGACGAGCAAACTAAAAATTAAAGAAAAAAGGACTCTACTGACGACCAAACTAAAAATGAAAAAGGGAGGGAGACTCTACTGACGAGCAAAATAAAAATAAAATTTAAAGAGACTCTACTGACGAGCAAAATAAAAATAAAATTTAAAGAGACTCTACTGATGATTAAATTAAAAATTAAAGAAAATGGGACTCTACTGACGAGCAAAACTAAAAATAAAAGAAAAATAAACTCTACTGATAATTAAATTAAAAATGGAAGAAAAAGGGACTCTACTGACGACCAAATTAAAAATGAAAAAGGGAAGGGTCTCTACTGACGAGCAAACTAAAAATTAAAGAAAAAGGGACTCTACTGATGATTAAATTGAAAATTAAAGAAAAATGGACTCTACTGACGAGCAATCTTAAAATAACATTAAAAAGGGACTCTACTGACGAGCAAACTAAAAATTAAAGAAAAATGGACTCTACTGACGAGCAATCTAAAAATAACATTAAAAAGAGACTCTACTGACGAGCAAAACTAAAAATAAAATCAAAAATGGACTTGTAATTTCTATAAATCATTGAAGTCATTAAAATGGAAAATATTTTTTAGACAAGACATATATTACACCTATTCAAAGAATGAGATTATATCGCCAGCGAAAATGTAAAACAAATACAAACAGTCGATGAATGTATGTTAATTTTAATTAAATTAAGTTCTTCAAACACAATTAAATGATGAGTGAAGTTGCAAAAACAATATTTGTTTAGACTTTTTAGAATTTATTAATCAGCAATTACTTCATTTCCCTATTGAAGGTTCATTTCTGAATGCTAATTACAATGACAAACCGATCATGTCATATTTGAAGTACGACTTTATGTGGACTCAATGTTCACTTATTTATTAAGGGTTTGCAACCCCCGCCGAGGTTAAGATTCCAAACCTAATTCCAAAATTGCTTGCAAATTGGAGCACAGTAAAAAAATTCAGAGGCTATACCCTTTCCTCTCCGTTTACTACACTAAAATCAAAACTATTGATAAACTTTGGTCTTTGATTTACTTACGTATGTCCAAGATAGAAAACATAAAATATTATTTACTTTACACGTAATTCTTATTAATTATATCATACAGAAATTTATTTTCAAGTGTTTCTTTTTCAATTTAGAGGTTGTTAGAAGGGTTTTAGGGTTTTCACGGGGTTGAAAATGATTTTATTGCGAGGTAAATGTATTAAAAAATATTTGTTAATTATATTCTTTGATATTAAAAACGTTTTCTAGCGATAAAATGGTTCAATGTTCACTTATTTATTAAGGGCTCGCAACCCCCCCGAGTTGTTTTCACTTTTGAGCTTGAGGTTAAGATGAACCTAATTCAAAAATTTCATACAAATTGGAGCACAGTAAAAAAAAATCACACGTTACACCCTTTCCTCTCCGTTTACTGAACTAAAAATACAACTATTGATAGACTTTAGTCTTCGATCTACTTACGTATATCAACGCAGGATTTGTAGAATGTTTTGGCCTTAATCGTGGCCTGGTTGTCGTCTTCACCGATCGGTTCTTCGAGGACACCTTTGAGGATCAGCTGTTGCTGGTCAGCTAAAACTTCAAAAGTGCTGATTGAGCTCCTGTCTTCGGGTATGACGTGTTTTTTGTTCCAGGAGCCGCAGGCGTAACGGAAGAAGTCTTCGCAAGGGTCGGCTGTGTGGTCCATTGCTGATAATAGGGTTGAGGCTGGGGGAAAAAAAAAGTAGATTAAAGATATTTGGTATTAGTAGGGTAGTTATAGTAATTTTTTGCTGAAGGTTTCTGAACATTTTAAGGGGCATACCTCAGAAACTAAATGGATGTGTGTGTGTGTGGGTTTTGTATCTAAAAAACTTTCTGCTTGTATTGACAAAACATTTGCTTTTGAGGATAAAAAATTATTACATCTTTTTTTATTTTACCCAAGTTTACCCAAGTGCGTTTAGACTGTTTATATACTGGAGCACTTTTCCAATTTTGTGAGAAAACTATTGAAAAATGTGAAAATGCCGCCAAGCCAAGCACAGTATAAGTGAAAATGTGGCACAGATTTATTTGCAAGTGCGTTTATGCTGTGACTTAATTTGTTCGTCAGTAGAGTCCTTTTTCTAATAAAATTTTAATTTGCTCGTCAGTAGAAACTCTTTTTGTATTGAAATTTTAAAGTTGCTCGTCAATAGAGTCCCTTTTTTATTTTCTAGATCTAAATTCAAATTTGCTCGTCAGTAAAGTCTCATTTTGTACTGAAATTTTAATTTGCTCGTCAATAGAGTCCCTTTTTGTATTAAAGTTTTAATTTGATCGTCAGTAGAGTCCCTTTTCTCTTAAAATTTTAATTTTATCGTCTTGTACTATAATGATACAACTTTTTCAATTTTGTGAGAAAACTATTGAAAAATGTGAAAATGCCGCCAAGCTAAGCACAGTATAAGTGATTATGTCGCACAGAATTATTTGCAAATGCGTTTAGACTGTGACTATACGGTAGCACTTTTTCAATTTTGTGTAGATTATAAAAATATAATTTCGAGTTGAAAAAATTTGAAAAAATGTGAAAAACTACCCTACTAAGCACAATCTAAGTGACAACCTGGTTCAAAAATTTTTGCAAGTGCGTTTAGAATGTGACTATGCGGGAGCGTTTTTATAAATTTTGTGAAAAAAAACTATTGAACAATGTGAAAATGCGGCCAAGCAAAGCACAGTCTAAGTAAAAATGTCGCACAAAATTATTTGCAAATGCATTTAGAATGTGACTTTACGAGAGCACTTTTACAATTTTATGAAAATTAATTGAAATGTAAATTCGGGTTAAATTTTATTTAAAAAAAAATGAAAAACTACCCAGACTAAGCACAGTCTAAGTGAAAACCTGGTGCAAATATATTTGCAAGTGCGTTTAGACTGTTTCTACACTGGAGCACTTTTACAATTTTGTGTAAATTATAAAAATGTGAAGGATCGGCTGTGTTGTCTATTGCTGATAATAGGGTTGAGGCTGGGGGAAAAAAGATTTAAGACATTGGTATTAGTTGTTATCAACTTCACGTAGGGTAGTTATAATATTTTTTTTTATTAATCTATTTTGCAATCTGTTTTACATGTATAGCGTCCTGTCAACACACATCGCATCTCAACTTGACAGATAAATATTACTTCTGGCTCTTCATAGTGACAGCACTGCGCAAAACAAAAAGTGCAAGTGTCAGTTCGGATCTCTCTCTTGTTTCTCTCATGTCGAACTGCCAAAATTATAATTCTTAACTTTTTTCCTTTTTCCTTTTTCATTATAAATACTCAAATAACATCTACGTTTTATAAATGATAAATATAATTACACATAGTGTTGTTAATATTTCATCATAAATAAAATATATAATATAAAGACTACGAGTTTCTTTACATGTTCATTATTATTAAGCAGAGATGGCTAACAATAATTATCATATAATATAAACAAGAAGATAGTAGAAACACCCAGCGGCGTGTCTGCTAGGTATATCGTAGGGTAGTTATAGTAATGGGCCGAAAGTCGAAAATGTAAATTTTTTGCATTTCTTTTGACGTTTTGAAGGTTTCTGAACATTTTACTGGCATACCTGAGAAACTAAATGGATGTGTGTGTTTATGTGTGTTTTGTATGTCCGCATTCTTTTGTCAACGTTTTCGGGCAAAAAACTCTCGTAAAGTCACAGTCTAAACGCATTTGCAAATAATTCTGTGCGACATTTTCACTTATACTGTGCTTAGCTTGGCGGCATTTTCACCTTCTCACAAAATTGGAAAAGTGCTCCAGTACATAAACAGTCTAAACGCACTTGGGTAAATATTTATACCAGAGTGGCGCTTAGACTGTGATTAGTGTGAGTAATTTTTTGAATTTTTAATCCAAAATAAATTACAAAATTATTTTATAAAAAATAAAAAAAGATGTAATAATTTTATCCATTTATGTAATATTTTATCCATCCAAGACTATACTGTAAATTTTGTACGGCAAGGAGATTGAAAAGGGACTCTACTGACGAGCAATTTAATTTTTCACTTATAAGACGAAAAAAGACTATACTGACGAACAAATTGAATTTCGTAAAGAGAACATGAAAAGAACTGACAATCTCAAATCAGATATAGAATGAAAAAAAAACTCTACTGACGAGCAAATTAAATTTTAATCTAAAAAATGAACAAGTGATTCTACTGACAAGCAACTTTCTATCAGCATTGAAGATGCAAAACAAATCTAATAAAGATGAAATAGTAAAAAGGGACTCTACTGACGAGCAAACTGTATTTCGACCAGAGAAGAAAGAGGACTCTACTGACGAGGCTTTCGTCAATATTCAGTATGGCAAGTTCTTCATAGCCTTGCCATAACATTTTTCTGTTATGCGGCAGAATCGAATTTTTAACTTCCCGTAGGGTAGTAGTTATAGTAATGGGCCGAAAATCGAAAATGAAAATTTTTGCATTTCTCGTTCGACGTTTTGAAGGTTTCTGAACATTTTTAAGGGGCATACCTCAGAACCTAAAGGGATGTGTGCGTGTGTTTTGGATGCCCGCATTTTTAGTATTAAAAAAAGGACTCTACTGACGAGCAAATATAATCTAGAATTAAAAAAGGGATTCTACTGACGAGCAAAAAACTGAATCTAGAAATCAAAATGTAAAAGAACTCTACTGACGGGCATAATTAATCTAGTATTTAAAAAAGAAATCTACTGACCAGTATATAGAATCAAGAAATCTAAAGAAATAGAACTCTACTGACGAGCAAATAAAATCTAGAATTAAAAAAGGGACTCTACTGACGAGCAAACTAATCTAGAATTAAAAAAGGGACTCTACTGACGAGCAATCTAAAAATAACATTGAAAAGGGACTCTACCGACGAGCAAACTAATCTAGAATTAAAAAAGGGACTCTACTGACAAGCAAACTAATCTAGAAGTTAAAAAGGGACTCTACTGACGAGCAAACTAATCTAGAAATAAAAAAGGGACCTTACTGACGAGCAAACTTAATCTAGAAGTTAAAAAGGGACCTTACTGTAGAATTAAAAAAGGGACTCTACTGACGAGCAAACTTAATCTGGAATTTAAAAAGGAACTCTACTGATGAGCAAAATAATCTAGAATTAAAACAGGGACTCTACTGACAAGCAAACTAATCTAGAATTAAAAAAGGGACTCTACTGACGAGCAAATTTAATCTAGTATCAAAAAAGGGACTCTACTGACGAGCAAGCTAAATCTAGATTTAAGAAAGGGACTCTACTGACGAGCAAAAGTTAAAATTTCAGTTCATATAATGCAAAATATAGTTTGCTTGTCAGTAGAGTCCTATTGTCTTTTTGTAAATGAGTTTGTAGAGTCTTAATATATTTGTATAATTTATTTTGCATTTATTTAAAAATTTATTTAAAAAATCACCCAGGCTAAGCACAGTCTAAGCGCCACTCTGGTACAAATGTTTACCCGAGTGCGTTTAGACTGTTTATGTACTGGAGCACTTTTCCAGTTTTGTGAAGAATATTATTACTTATATATTATTACTTAATATTACTATTATTGAATGAAAATGTGAAGATGCCGCCAAGCTAAGCACATTATAAGTTCAAATGTCGCACAGAATTATTTGCAAATGCGTTTAGACTGTGACTATACGGGAGCACTTTTTCAATTTTGTGCAAATTAGGCAACTATTTCTTTTTTAAATTGAATTCGAAGTGAAATGACGATGGTTAATATAACAAGATAGCAATAATAATAAAGAAAGTTACAGTATTTGTAATAATATATTTGAAAACGTTTAAAATTTCTTGAATATTTCATTACGGTACGGGAAGTTCCAGCAATTTTCCTTAAGGCACAATGCCACCCACCCCACTAGTTTAGTTGGTATTTACCTGTTTTGATACAGTCCTCGGTAAGGCATATTGGTTTTTGAGGTCCTGAAAAAATAAAAATAATTTACTAATAAGTTTTATTTTACCAAATTTGGTTTATTACCAGAACTGCATGCGCCTCCAATTTGCAAAAAGACAATCGTCCAAACCCCTGCAGTAACCGCAACCAAAAGAACAACAAGGGTTGCCAGCATTGTTTTATTTTTCCTCCTCCACCATGGTCTTTTTTTCCTCCGTATAGAAGGTTCCGTACCACCAACAGCCATTCCACCGTTTACCGCCAAATTTGGTGCCTTTATGAACCCGTTTCTGGGGTTGGAACCTATCATGGGTTCTGAGGCGTCTGTCATGGGTGATGGGTTGAAATTGTCCAAAAAGGGTAAAAGGGTTGTACTAAATTGTTTGAAGGGTTGTTGGACTGGTAGACATTGGTGAGGATTTTTTGGCACGGTTTTTGGTCACAGCATTAGGTGTCACTTAAAAAGTTTTACTTCAAATTTTGAGTTTTACTAAAAAAATATTTATTATTTATTATACTAATATTTATATTAACTATGCGAATTGTTCGCAAAATATACACTTATTACGAATTTATAGCTCAGGTGCGTAAAGAAGTTTTACTTCAAAAATTTTAGATTGTGTGTTTTATGGCTTGTTGGGTATCGTTTGAAAGGTCTCGACGAGTAGAAAACGATTTTCACGAAAAAATGATTCTCTTTCAATTAAAACGTTTTATACATAACCATATTGTATTGCAAAAAATATTAGAATGTTAAAAATTATTGATTTTTTTAAATGTCTGCAGTGTAAAATTTTTATAACGAATACTAAAATTAATTATGTGATTTTTTATAAAATTTACTATAATATAAACAAGCAAGAAAGAATCTTATGATAACTGCATCATCTACAATTCTGTTATCATAACATTTTTTCTTGCTTGTTTATATGTAAAATACGCCTGATCGCACGGCAAATAGATAGATATTTTCACAATTTTCACATTGAGCTAGTGTAAAAATTAATCTGCTCGATCTAGTTTTTATTTTAAACTTTTATTAACTTCCCATAGGGTAAGTTATAGTACCGGGCCGAAAATCAAAAATGAAAATGTTTGCATATCTTTACGTTTCAGAGGTTTCTGAACATTTTGGCAAACCTCAGAAAAAATTAATGTGTGTGTGTGTGGATACAATATTACTTCCCTTAGGGTAGCTTGTAGTAATCGCAAAAAAATCTAAAATGAGAATTTTTATATAACTTCACGTTTCAGAGATTTCTGAACATTTTGGCATACCTTTTAAAAACTTAAATGTGTGTATGTGTGCGAATACTAATTGTTCTATCCGCGTTTTCGGGAGTACCGCCCACCCGATTCGAATGATTCATTTACCATTCGATTCCTATTGAAAGCGAGATGTGGTGATTAGTTTTCGGCAAGAGTAGGTCCAGTCGTTTCGGAGATGCAGAGCAAAGAGTGCAGAAAATACAAATCGAGTTTTTGAGAGAACGGAGTACACGATTTGAATGATTTAAAAAGCATTCAATTTGTAATGATTGGGAGAAGTGGTGATTAGTTTTTGGCAAAGGCAGGTCTAGCTTTTTCGGAGATACCGAGCTAAATGTGCAAAAAATGGCAGTTTTTGAGAGAACTAAGCATCCGATTTGAATGATCTAAAAAACTTTCTGCTTGCATTGACAAAACACTCCCTTTTGGAAAAAAAAATATTTTAATTTTTCATTTTTAAATTTTTTTTTAACTTATAATATATTTGAAAACATTTAATATTCCTCGACTATTTCCTTACGGTACCTTCCGAAATTTATCTTAAGACACGATGCCATACACTACTAACTTTTTACTAAAATTTATTTAAGTTTTGTTCAATAAGTACAACAATTTTTACACCAGCCCTCTATTTAACACTCCAGAACAAAATGTATGAACTTAGATCAACCGGTGCATTTATTTACTTTAAAGTTTATAACTTTCAAACTATTTTTTTAATATAAATGATGTTTTCGGCAAATTTGTTAAAAATTAAATTGTCTATAATATTGTCTAATAATATAATGACCTACAGCAACTCGGTATACCTTAAATACTTTACTAAACTTAGAAAAATGATGAACAAAATTGTATTGTGTCGTTATTTTTTACTGCAAATATTTATTATAGTAGTTATAATTTTTAAACCAAATGAAATTAAATTATCTACGATATTGTCTAATAATCTATAATATCTATAATATCTATCTATAATATTGCAATGTTCTAAAGCAACTTTAAAAATTTAATTAATTTCAGAAAATTTGTATTTTGATTTTGTTTGACTTTCATATATACACACTTAATTTGAAAATCTTCGATTAATAATTTATTACAAAAAAAATATTGATTTCATAAACAAAATGATCATACTCAAAATCATTAATCTCAAAAATATAGTTAATTGATCTTACAAAAAATTACTTTTTGCAATGATGAATCTAAAAATGTTTGAAATTTTCTAAATTGCCGAAAATTGATTTCTTCGTATAATTATATTATACGAAGAATTATATTTTATTATATAATAAAAAATTGTTCTGCATATGATTAATAATTTATTGTAAAAATGTTTATTTTAATTTAATTCATTTTAATTAACATGGATTTTAGTTACCCATAACTCATATTTAATATTAATTTAAATTCAACATATTAAAAATTAAAAATACTTTTAAATAATTTCACACCGCACACACGAATCAATTTCCGCGTTCGCACACAATTTTCACTCCAGAATTTTCATTTATAATAACCGATTCGACTGTTTAAAAAATCGTCCACGACTATTTTTAATATTTAGAATACACTTTAAACTATCTACTACTGTTTTATAAAATTATTAAATATTATATATATTACTTGTGTTTTATGATTTCGGAGTTCGTGTTTGCCCGTCGACTCGCGTACCCCGTTTGGAAATTGCGAGTTTTCCGAACCGAGGAAAATCGTGATGCTGAATTTCCTCTTCTCTAGAGAGAGAGAAAATGTATGTGGTTGTCAAAATTTGGAAACAGTAAAAATTTTGTTAAAAAATTATAAAGGAAATATAAATAGATCACAAGCACTGTGCTTTGGCCATTACTTCAATTTTAATCGTTTTCCCACTTCATAGATGTCGCCACCAACCGTAGCACGTAAATTCACCTCTGGGTTTCAATTCTAGATAAGATTCATATAAATATATAGTACAGTCAATAATTGTTAATTAACAAGTTCCAACAAATATTCTTTTTCCAACAGATCCCAAAGATACTATATCATCATACTAAACGAAATTCTAAATCATTTTTTTAATAAGTAGTAATATTTTTTGTATTCAAATAATTTAGTACAGTAAAGCAAACTGCGATATGCATTTAAAAAAATAATGTATATGCAATTTAAGACTTGTTGCGTTATTTATTATACTGAATTATATAATTTCATCTGCCAAACGCGTATACTGTTAACTGCATTAACGGCTAATTGCCATTACTTCAATTTTAATTGTTTTCCCGCTCCATAGATGTCGCCACCAACCGTAGCTCGTAAATTTACCCTTAGGTTTCAATTCTTGATAAGATTTATATACAACTGATTAATTTGACTAAATGAAATGAGAACAAAATATACGCGTACAAAATATATTTTCAACAAAATCACAAATATGTTGTAAACTAGTGGTGTATGGCATCGTGCCTTAAGGCAAATTGCTGGAACTTCCCGTACCGTAATGAAATATTCGAGAAATTTTAAACGTTTACAAATATATTATTACAAATAGTGTAACTTTCTTTATTTTCGCTATCTTGTTATATCTGAGAACATTAACAATCGTCATTTCATTTAAAACTAAAATATAAAACAGGACTCTACTGACGAACAAATTAAATTACAAACTAAAAAATAAAAAAGGGACTCTACTGACGAGCAAAATAAATTTTAAACTTAAAATAATAAACGAGGGACTTTACCGACAAGCAAACTTGAAATTGATTTAGGATCTAAAAATGAACTCTACTGACAAGCAAATTAAATTTTCAACTAAAAAATAAAAAAGGGAGTCTACTGATGGGCAAATTCAATTTTAATTTAAAAGATAAAAAAGGCTCTACTGATAAACAAACTTGTTTTTGAGGTGGAATCTAAAAAAGGGACTCTATAGACGAGCAAGTTAAATTTTAATCTAGAATCCAAAGAAGGGACTCTACTGACGAGCAAATTAAATTTTAAACTAAAAAAGGACTTTACTGACGAGCAAATAAACCAAAGGAACTCTACTGACGAGCAAACTGAACAAAAACAATCCTACTGACTAGCAAAATGCAAAAAGATGAAGAGATCAGTAATAATAATTCAGATATTTTTTTTAAATTTAATTCAGAAAGTTTTGTTTAAATTTGGTCAAATTAAACTCTGTTGAACAAAGAACATTTGTATCAAGTTCAATTTTCATTAATATTTTCTTATCTGCAACTGGTATTTTGGGTTTGTCCAAATTCTAACTATTGTTACATTGATTTAAAGACTCTTATGAAGAAATGAATAAAAAATTAATTAAAATTTCATCAATCCTATATATAAAATTCTTCTATACGGGTGTATTATTTGGTACTTCTCCTAAACGGTTATTCGGATTTTGATAAATCTTTTTAGAGTTTGTCAAAGAATTTTTTAAGTTTTAATGAACGATAACACTATTGTGATATTGTAGAAATATACGGCAAAAATTACACAAAAAAAACACTTATCATTGTTGACATTGAACTCTGTCATATGCTAGAAATGTCGATTCACTTGAATTTAGGTGAAATTATGAGCCTAGATAATATTAGAATATAATATACAAGATAAGTGTAATGTCTACATTATTATTGCCGAAAAGCAGCTGAGATGTGCCAGAAATTAACATAATATAAGATACAGTATGTGTTTGGCAGATGAATTTATATAATTCACTTTAATAAATAATGCAACAAGTTTAAAATTGCATCTATATTATTTTTATAAACTTATGCATGTCGCATTTTGCTTTAATAAATTATTTAACAATACAAAAAATATTTCTACTTATTAAAAAAATGATTTAGAATTTTGTTTCATGTTCCAAAAATTCATTTGTTTGGCATCGGATATGGAATATGTAGCAAGTTGATCTTAGATTGAATAGTGCCCGTATGAACTAGATTTTACAAATTAATTCACCAAAGATTTGAACATAAACAATAATGTTTATTAAATTGCTAGCGAAAAAAATGTATTTTAGAAATTATAATTGCCAAAAAGCAACTAATATATCATTGTACGAGATAATGAAAATTATAGACTAAATTATTGAAGCAATAATTATGTTGTCAGGTAAAATCAAGTGTGATATTGTTTTTTTTCAAAATTATTGTTTTCAAAAACAAAATTGGAAAACGTTTTACAATCTGTGGTTTGCAGATGGCGCTTGCGCAGTTCCTTGTTTTTATTATTCCACTTTTAATGTTCTACCCCAACAGAAAATACATACATGATTTCTTCTTATACATATATACATACATACATATATATATATATATATATATATATATACTAGCTGACCCGGCAAACTTTTATTTTTTTTTTAAATTTTGTCAAATATATTCAATAACCGAACGCCTGATAAGAAATGATTGAATTGCTAAAATGGCTATCAAAAAATAGGGGTTGATGATAAAAAAGTAAAAATTTTGGGTTTTATATATTTTTTAATACTACATTAATAGAAAATGAAAACAAAAATTCAGTCCAAAAATTACAAAAAAATTTAAGGGTGAAGAACCCTTATCACTTTAGGTTATGAACTAGTGGTGCGTAGCATTGTGCCTTTAGGCAAATTGCTGGAACTTTCTGTACCAAATATTAAAATTTTCAAAAATGATACAATTTTCTTTTTAAACTCGAAAAAATCGTTTTTTGAGATTTTTTAAATTTTTGAAAAATTTGCTCTTTGTAAATTTAATTTCTTTGTACTTCAAACTATTTTAAAAATTTCGAACTTTTTTTCAAAGCAATTGCGATATGTTAGCTGCGTAGAAACGAGATATTGAAGCGCGTAAGCGCCGCGTCGCGGTATAAGAGATGAACATTGGTACGGAACTTATAGCAAAATAAATAAAATTTGTTCTTATTATTAAAATCTCTATAAAATATGTGATAATTTGATGTGCTTATGTTTAATGATCATTTTTGAGCGAAATGGCATTTTTGTCAATTTTTCACTAGATCTCCGAAACCACTAGACCTGCTTTCCCAAAAATTCAATCATTTTTTCAATACAAATAAAATGTTTTTTGTATAATTGAAATCGGACGCTTCGTTCTTTCAAAAACTAAAATACCATTTTTGGCACTCTTTGCTCGATATCTTCGAAACGGCTTGACCTGCCTTTGCCAAAAACTAATCAGCACGTCTCCTCATCAATAGGAATCGAATATTTTTGAATCATTCAAATTGGTTGATCCGTGTTCCCGAAATCTTCGACGAAAAATTGTATCCGCACACACACGCACATCCATCCATTTTTTCTAACGTAAGGTATGCCAAAATGTTCAGAAGGTTTTGAAACGTAAAGATATGTAAAAAATTTCATTTTCGTTTTTTTGCGATTACTATAACTTGCCCTACGGAAAGTTAAAAATTAAACCAAGTATACCAAGATGTTCAGAAACCTCTGAAAAATAATTTTAATTATTCAAATAAATATTTTCGATTTTTTTGCGATTATTATATCTTACCCTACCGGGAGAATATTTGTGCAGTAAGGGATAATCCAGTGAATTAGATAAGTTAGATTATAAAACAACTTTAATGAAACTTTTTTTAAATAAAACAACAATAGTTATAAATTTTACACTACAATACGATAATTAAATTATCGCTCTAACGAGTCAATGCA